AGATAACCTAGTTTTACGAGTATTTTTTGGTAGATCTCCATCAGTAACTTCCCAGAAAATAAACACTGTTGCGAAGCAGTAGCCAATACAATATTCTGGGATGCATAGCAAGTTCAGTCTGGCTGGAGTAAGCTGATAACCATCATCAGTTCCCTTGCCTTTGATGGGGAGTGCCACAGTATTCACATCAGCTAACACCGTTGTGGCTGCTAGCTTACTTAGGATGAGTAAAATGCTCATTCATACTATGGAAATGAGTCAGGAGGGAGAAAAAAATTCTCAGACCCTCCTTTTGCACAGTGCGAGAGTCTCAGCTCCGTTTAGGCATCATTTTGTGGAGTGTCTTGTGTTGAACGATTCGCTTTTTCCAGAGCATGTGAATTCTGGATGTTAGATCCTGACTGGTAGAACAGCAATTGCTTTGGTGCCCAAAAGCCAGCAGGAACAAGTGGATGGTGTTATTTAAAGCTTGACCTCACAGCCAGCTGAAAGACGTGTCCGGGAGTTGTAAGACAGTAAGGCAAGCTCATTGCCCAAGTGCCTCCCATGGCAAGGGTCTCAAGGTAAGGCTGAGAAGGCAAATAGGAAAGGCACGGTACAGCGGAGCTCTCTGCAGGGCACTTCCTGTCAAGATTTTTCATTGAAAAATGGTGATTTAGCAAAATCTTCTGTTTTGTGGTGAAGATGTCGGAACGCTGCCCAGTCTCCTGCGGAGCAGAAAGCCTGAAACGCAGGGGAGCTCCCCAGCGGCGGGGGGGCTGTGGGGCTCACCACGTTCAGGACCACCAGGCTCCCAGTCACCAAGCAAAAATCCCAATTCCTGGCTCTCATCAGCGCCTTTGAGTGTTTCCATTTTGTTCACTGGCTTTCTAAAATTGCCAGGGCTGCAAAGTGTCAGTCGTGCCCTTGCCATGGCAGCTGGGGGAGCTGGGTCACTAGGATGGCTTCCAAACACTGCAGGGGGCTCGGCTGGCACCTCAGTACAGCTGATGGACGCTGCATCTTCAGAGGTTAGCATCACCTTGTGCTCAGTGTCCTCACTTTTCTTTTGGTTTGATATAAATACTGCCAGGACCGACACTGAAGTGGCTGTGCAGCTTTATCAGACACGGAGGTGGCGGCACCCAGGAGATGAACCCATGGCAATAACTGTTTTATTAATCATCATCAGTGCATCTAGATAGAATGATTTAATGCCTTAAAAATAAAACAACAAGGATCAGAAAAAGGCTTTCCCTTTGCTTGTTACATGGTAATTGCCCACCTCCCCACAGAGCACCTGGGGAAAGCCGGAGGGTTGCAGGAATCCTGACGGGGAACCAAATCCCCCGACCAAGGTGAGGGAATGGGCGATGACCAAGGACACTGAGCAACAGCCTTAAAAAATGACCCCACCTTCCCTCTTGCCCACTCAGCGTCCCTCCCCGCGCGCTGCCCAGGCGGTGGTTTTGGCTCCTCACCTCCCATTTGACCCACGCAGGAGCCAGGCCGGCTTGCACCGTGCTAGGCTGCAGGGAGGCATTCCCCCTTGCACAGAGACCGGCTGAGAAGCTACATCGAATTATTACCCATGAAAAACAGCATCTCTGCTGCCGAATCCTCTTGTCCTCCCTTCCCGTGACCTCGGAGCTGTGTTTTGGACTCACCCATTCACGTATTCACATCGATGTGAAGCTCAGCTGGTGGTCCGGGTGTTTGGGAAAGCAAACGGGCAGGCAGCGCGGTTTCCCCTTGCCTGGTTTCCTCCTGCTGGGCGAGAAGCAGCGCTGCCCTGCAGCTCCCACAGCAAAAGGGCTGCCAAAAGCTCCATGGCCCCCCGTCCCGCTGGGCAAGAGAGCAGAAGCAGGTGCCACCCGTGGCATCCCTCATACAGACACAGCTTGGTCCTGCTGCGCCGTGGTGCCTGGGATCCTGACTGCCGGGTACAAGTGAATACCTGCCGTATTTTGCTGTAGGCTCCCTTCCTTTATGCGCTTGCTGTTTAAGCCAAGTCACGCTCAGTGTTTGCTTTTATTCATTTCTTATGAAAAGGATCGCCCTGAGGGCAGAGGCACTTATCAGGAAAATCGGGCAAAAAAAAAAATAATTCTTAAGGTAAGTGATGAAATCAAAGATTAAAAGTCCTGTACGCCTCGGGTACCCAACACGGCTCCGGTCCGCTGGTGAGTGCTCAGCCACCTGCACGGGGAGCCGAAAGCCTGGCAGATCCTCAGAACGAGCACGCATTTGTAATAAATAATGCACACGTTTTAACAAAACCAAATTTTATTAATTACAGCACTTCAAACAGCATTTTGCCTCCCCTGAAAGTGGCACTTCAGGCCTCCAGAATAAGAACAGTGTATCACAGTGCATCAAATTGGTCAGGCACCCTTCTGGCAGAAGGAATCGGCTTCTGATTTACGGGATTGCATCGAAGTTTTTTTCAGAGACTCGATTGCATTTCTGTTCTGCTTTTATTGGATACCCAGCCCCTAGCAGTGTTTCCTTTCAGCCTTCTGAGAAACAACATCGAGCACTTTGCGCTCCCCGCAGCACCTCTGACGCTGCCGATGCTCATCGCAAATAACTGCGCCGAGGCAGACCGCGTCTCTGAATTCAACAATAACAGTTTTCCGAAGTGTGTCACTGCAGCCAAAGGGGTTGGGATATTTTTAAAGATTTTAGCAGCTGTAAGTTAAGGGCTCAGTATTTTCATCTCTTAGAGTCAGCCGAGTACATCCGCGTCGTTACTGCTTGGTTGCTGATGTAGAAGCAAAGATTCAGCCTTCTCTCAGTGAGTGTAGCAAGAGTTGTGAAGGAACACAAAAAAGAGGAGGAAAGGAACCGGGGGGGTGGTCTCTAAAATGACTCTGGAGATACCAAGCAAGGTATGGTCGTGTAAAAAAGGTGTCCTTGTCAGAAAAAATGTGCTGGAGCGATCTCAGAGATCCAAATGTAAGAAATAGGCTCCTTGGGCCATGCTTGCTTTCCTTTAGAACTGAGCTGACTCTGTCTGACATTCAGAAACACAGTTTTGTTTCACTTTTAGTCTGGCTTCGATGCAGATAATCTGGAGGAGAGAAGGACCCCCCGCTGCTGTCCGCCGCCTGCCCCGGTGGCACGATGGGTGCACCCGGGTTCACTGCCCCTTCTCTGGGTGTTGCCTTTCAGTCAAGTTCATCTTGATGAAGGAGGGGGAAAAAAAAACCCACTTGTGAGACCAACTACAAAAAGTGTGACTGTAAAGTTGAGAAACTGCAAAGAGCAGGAAACTCCTCTGCACACGCTCTTCGCCTTGAGTTTGTCGAGTCTGATCTTCAGCTGACAGCTCCTGTGCCTTGGGGTGCCACAGGCCACTTGAGAAAGTGCTCACAGCTCCAGTTTTCAGCTCCAACAGTCTAAGTGCCAAGTAACTGCTACCAGCGGGGCACGTCAGGCGTTCACTTGCACCAGTTTGAGTGTGAGGACCCACTGCCGGCTGAAGGGGAAAGGTTCGAGCTGAACTCATCACCCTCGAGTTTTGTGCTTCAAGTCATAGAATCATAGAATGAATCATAGAATCATAGAAAGTTTTGGGTTGGAAGGGACCCCCAGAGGTCACCCAGCCCAACCCCCCTGCAGGGAGCAGGGACACCTTGAACCAGACCAGGTTGCTCACAGCTCCATCCAACCTGGCCTGGAATGTTCCCAGGGATGGGGCCTCCAAGTCATTCTTCTTTTCAAATAGACAGAGGCTTATTGCTGGGTTCAAGCTGGCAAGGTGTACTGAAGGCCTGGAAACATGACGGAGGGAGGCTGTATGTAGTGTTTTGGCTACTAATGCTTGGGGGTTGGCTTTTCTTTCCGCTTTTTTACGATCTGTGGATTGCAGAACATATCGCCGAAGTTCAGTCTCTCAAAGCCACAGTCTTTAACTGAAGCTGAAGGCCATCTCCCAGGCAAAGTGCAAGAGCAATTGGAAGTGCCTAGGTCCATGTATGCACTGGGAAGCATCTGAGGTATCTGGAGTACTTTATGTTTTGCTGATAACCTCCCAGTGCTTTGAGGAGACCCCAGGAATCACCACTGGGGTAACTGGGAAACTGTTATACATCGTCCTGAGCCCCAGAGCAATCAGAGGGGTGTCCATGGCCCTGGTCCTCTGCACCGCTGCCGAGGGAGCTGGAACAGCAATGCTAACCTCGGCCCATCCCTCCTTGCCTCTGAAACCACAGCCCCCGAAATCACGGCTCCCTCTGTGTTACAGCACATGGAGCTCTCAACACTGGGGGTTTCTCAATCCCTCTCCACCCTTGCTGGCCTGCAGCAAAGAACTGCGTTCCACCTTTCCACCTCCTGCTTATTTCTGACGGGGGAAGTGAGAGAAGCTATCTCCTACTTTCCTGTAGCAACCTCCCAAGAACAGCTCCACGCGTGCACCGAGATGTGGCAGCTCAGCCCCACGCTGTCCTGGGGACCCTCGTGGTGGGGCTGATGCCACCTGCGGGACGAGCCCAGCTAGGCTGGGTCAGCTTGGTGCTCACCTTGCCTCTCGATGCTACCTGCTGAGCCCAGTGGGTCACCTGGCTTAGAGATATTTGAGGACATAGATCACATCTTTAGTATACAATAGACAGCTCGTGGCTCAACGGATCCCTGAGTAAGCCTCTAAGCACCCTTTTTGTATAAAAAATATTTGGCTTGCTCTGGTTTTTACAGAGGTTCATGAAATGTCACTTGTTTCACCTGTACAGTGAATAAACCCGAGATTGAGAACACTCAAAGCAAGCCTGCGGAGTCAACACGAACACCCACAGCCCAACTTGGTTGTGTTTCAGTGTCAAGGGGCTCCTCAACCCCGAGCTCCTCACAGTAACCAAGGCTAAATAGCACCAGAAAACAGGAAGATTTGAGCTCGGTAGTGAGCCACATCATGAGCCTTTGGCCTGGGCATCAAACAGTTTTCAAGCCAAGAGTTTGAAATTGTGTTGAAGTGTCTTGCGTCTGGTGTCACAGTGCTGCTTCCCCGGGAATGCACGCTACTTTGCTTTTAGCGTCGATCTGTTCGACACGCTAAAAAATATTTTGTAGTAAATGTATACATTGACAATCCTTAAAAGAATCCCCAGGACGTAAGTGAGGGACCGGAGAAGGGCTGCGGCTGTGCTGGAGAAGTGAAACAAGAGCACGGTGGGGCTGCGGGTGGGAGCAGGAAGGCAGCTGGCCCGCAGGAGGTCGTCTGTCTGCAACAGGGCGCACTCTGCGGTCACCAGGAGCCAGATGATCCTGGAGGTCAGTCTGGCATTTTTCACCGTCCGTAAATGCCGGGACTCTGTGGGGCAGAAGGTAATCAAGTAAGCCTCGAAGGCAACGCAGCTGAGCAGCAAGCAGCTGATGTGTGTGTTTGCAGCGAGGAGGTTCTGCAGCAGGGCTGATGTGAACGCCGCAGGTGAGATACCGATGTCAAAGGTCCAGGCGACCATCTCAGAAACAACGCTAATGGAAACCAGGATGTCTGCCTTTGCGAGGCTCGAGATGAGAACTGCAGTGGACTTGGACGACACCTTTGCAGACTGCAGGATGATCAGTGTGTACAGACTGCCCAGCAGGCCCAGAAAAGTGCTGACAGCATTTGAAGATGACAGGACGAGGTATTGGATATACTTAAGCACCAGGTATCTTCTCAGATCTTTCATGTGATCTCTCTCCATAGAAATGCCAGTTAGGGAAGAATACCTAGAATACATATAAAAAAGGGTCATTAAGTGTAAAATTAGTGAGATAGATTCCAGACAGTTTATTAAGTACCTGCATTTGTACAGACACGCGCTGGCACCCTGTGCGCTCTGGCATTCTTGTGGCATTGTAGCCGGTCTTGTTTAATATCTTTATCAATGACCTGGACAAGGGGTTTGAGTGTGCCCTCAGTAAGTTTGCAGATGACACCAGACTGGGTGGGAATGTCAATCTGCTTGAGGGGAGGAGGGCTCTGCAGAGAGACCTGGACAGGCTGGACCGATGGGCCGAGGCCAACTGTATGAGGTTCAACAAGGCCAAGGGCCGGGTCCTGCACTTTGGTCACAACAACCCCATGCAGAGCTACAGGCTCGGGGAAGAGTGGCTGGAAAGCTGCCTGGTGGAAAAGGACCTGGGGGTACTGGTTGACAGCCAGCTGAATGTGAGCCAGCAGTGTGCCCAGGTGGCCAAGAAGGCCAATGGCATCCTGGCTTGTATCAGGAGTGGTGTGGCCAGCAGGAGCAGGGCAGTGATCGTGCCCCTGTACTCGGCACTGGGGAGGCCACACCTTGAATACTGTGTTCAGTTTTGGGCCCCTCACTACAAGAAAGACGTGCTGCTGGAGCATGGCCAGAGGAGAGCCACAAAGCTGGGGAGGGGTCTGGAGCCCCAGGCTGCTGGGG